GTCATGAGGGTTCTGCCCTCGTGAATATAGTAATCCATTCATGGATTAATGGATTAATGGGTTAATGGATTAATGGGTTATCGTGGGAATAGGACTGGTGGCTTCATAAGAAGAGGAAGAGAGACCTGAGCTAGCACACTCAGCCCCCTCGCCAGGTGATGCCCTGTCTGCAGAGTTCCCACCAGCAAGAAGGCCCTCACCAGATAAGTCCCCTCAACCTTGAACACCTCAGCCTTCATAACTGTAAGAGATAAATACTTTTTCTTTCTAAATTACCCAGTTTCAGGTATTGTTATAGGCAACAGAAAACAGACTAAGACAATTATCTTTCTTTTTATCTTCTCTATTTTGATCTGGGTTTATGTGGCCCATACTCAGTGGCTATAATGAATATCCTAAAGGGGTATATAATATATAGTAATTAAGTTAATCAGTGTAGTATACCACTAGGGCATAAGCCTCTATGTGCCATTTTACTTATATCATTTCTTATAAGCATATAGTTCTGGGGAAAATATGCTTGAGGAAAAATTAATATGTATATGTGATTAATATATTCATAATTGTACTATATTGTTATTCTTTGTGATAAAGCCATTATTAGATACAATTATGCTCATGTATTCTGTTTATCATTTTCCAAGGCCATGTCAGTCCTTATTCCATACTTTCATGTTTTGTGTTTATGAATAGGTCTATGATTCCTGGATAAAAGGTGCTATTCAAATTTAAAGTTATTATATTAATTCCCATGTTACATTAGTATTTACCATGTCATTAGGAAGCTAAAGTAGGCAGGATGTATTTTGTCTTATTTATTTGTGTAAAATGATGGGATAAACATATTTATAATATTTTATTCCAGTGTATCTTAATATTGATGCCTTCAATAATCTTTGTTTAGTGTTCCTTTCTCTTAGCTCAAATTTTGTATAACAGCTTTTTTTCTTTTTAAACATTCAGAATGAGGTGAAGTTTCATGAGAACATGACTTTTTTTTGTGGTCCAGTGTAATTTTTATTTTTAAATTTTGCTATTGTTTGCAAATTTATACAACGTGATACTAGAGTCCCTACTGAAATCAAAGCAGGTTTCAAGGAAACATGACAGGCATTGCCAGTTTGAAGCAACTAATAAACTATCCCTATTAGAAATTTCAAATTTAACCTATTACATTGTAAAAATCATTGTCATTGATATAATTATGTTTTTTCTCTTAAATATTAAATACCTTTTTAAAATAAGTTTTAAGTACCTCCATCCACAGTACTCTAACACAAGTGCTCCATTTTGCCATGTTTGTATATTTCCTTATTGATTATATTTCTTATGCTTTAGTTAAAACAGCCTCATCCATATTTCCTCACATTCCAACTTTTAAAAATCTAGTATCATTTGAGCTTTTTACTAAAGAATGCCTTACATTTCATTTCTTATTTTTGATGCTGTGTTTTGTGTTTAATGATCACATGTTCTTTCTTTTGCTCAAGGCTTGGATTTGTGTGCCAACATTCAAGGTTGCCTTCCTCAAATTTTGACTAACCTTTCTAGTTTGTGGGTGAAACTTAGGTGCTATTAGGGTGCTTGCTCTATTTTCATTGTTTTTCTCCTAAACTTGTCCTCCCCCAGGAAGCCATCATTTCCTATACTTTACCTTTTGCTTCTCTTAGATTTTTAATGTAAACAGTGTGTCTAAGAGTGTATTGGTAGCTTTGAAGAGCTTAATTTGCATATTTCCCTCTTATCTCAGTAACTTGTGCGAACTTGTTGCTTTTTTATCTGTAAGAAAATGTTTATCTGACTGATTTTTCTCTTTTCCCTACCAGTGTATTCTGAAAAAATAACTCTTATAACATTTTTTGTTGTTTAATGATTAACTGCCTTCAGTGTGCCAAAGTGGTAATACTAAAACCTAAACGATAAATGGTACATTTCTATTTTGGGCGAGATTGTAATGTTCTTTATTTTTATATGAACTACATTTAATAGATTATCTAAATAAGAGGATCATACTTAGGTGCTAATAACCATTTATCTAACTGGGTAACTTACCCTAGATTACAGCGTTTAAGTATTTACTGCTACATCAGATGTATTTACCAAACCAGACTTTTCAATGTTTTGCCCAGTGTAAATTATTTTAAGAATGATGGCATCTTTTCCTTTATAATAACAAGTCAGGTCTCTTTTCAAGTGACCCACATTTTGTTTAACTCGGCCACGTATTTCTTCCTCCAAAGTGTTCTATGGCTCAGAAGTGAGGGCGTTTTGAACTAAAGTCTGACTAGTACCAGAAAGCTCTTACCCAAGTTCTTTTTCATGTTGGCTTTCAATAGTTTAGGGACACTCTCCTTTGAGGATAAATATTCGGGAGAGCGTTTCAAGGCTTCTGGCCTTTATTGCTCTACAAATGTTTCTGCAGCTTTGGCGCTTCTCCGGAGAGACCTACCTTCCGACTACCCCCGTTAGCCACTTCCTGAAGTCTCCCTACATCTGTCCTGGCGCCTGTCACCTGCGTGCCCGGGCCCCTCTCCCGCGGGGCCGGTGTCCCTCCTCCCCCCGCCTCGCCTGTCCCTCGGGTGCCCGCCTGCGACGCTCCCAGCCTATTCCTTCTTGTGGCTTTTGTGGTGTGTGGGTGTTTGGTTAGTTTTCCCCCCCCTGGCCCTCGCCCCTTCCTCCTCCCCCCCATCACTTTCATTCCCCCCGCCTCCCGTGCCAGCCCTGCCCCTCCTCCCTCCCCGCCGCCACTCGCACACCTGCCCCTGCCGCCCGCGCGCCGCGCGCTCCCCTCCCCGCGCGGCGGCCGCTGCCAGGGAAGCCCCCTCTCCTCCGCCCCTCTGCGCCCTCCCTGGCGCGTCTGGCGGCGGCCGGCGCTGGCCCTCGCGCGGCGCCCTGTTATTCTGGGTATTGTGTGTAATAAATGTCGGGCCGCCTCACTCTAATCAAGCTCATTACAAATTCTTGCGCGCCCGGGGCCGGAAACCGTGCGCTCCCCCCCTTCCCTCACTCATTCACTAGTTACTTGTCTTTCGGCTTTTTAACTCGCCGCCCCCGCCCCCTCCCCCAATCCCGGCCCTCCAGCCCGGGTTTTAATCCCCATCCCTTTTCCGCCTTCTCCGTGCACCCTGCACCTCCCCCCCCCCGCCGCCTTCCTCCTCTGCTCCGCACCCCCTTCCTCCTCCTCTCCCTCCCCCCGCCGCCGCCGCCGCCGCCGCCACTTTCTCGCTCGCTCCCGTTCCCCGGACGCGGCGGATGCGCCGGCCCCGCTGGGGAAGGCTCCGGGCGGCGGCGGGCGGCCGGGAGGAGGCTGCGTGCTCGGGCTGGGGCTGCGAGCGGGGTGATTCCGTATTAAAATGAGGAGGAGGAAGAAGAGGCACCCAGAGCGGCGGCGGCGGCAGCGGCGGCACCAGCGGCAGCGGCGGGAGCAGCGGCGTGCAGGGCTGCGGCTCGGGCGGACGCGCGGAGCCGGGCCGGGCGCGGCGGCGGCGGCGACAGCGGCCGGGATGAGTCAACTGATAATTTAATGGGGGCAGAGACGGCGGCGAGGGGGAGCGCGAGCGAGGGGGAGCGCGCGAGAGAGGAGCAGCCCCGTCCGGGGACTCGCGCTCGCACGCACGCACACACACACACGAACGCACACACACCTCTCCCTGTGCCACCCAGCAACAACCGGCCTCGCCACCACAACAACAGCCACAGCCGCCCTCCGGCCCGCCCGGGGGCCCAGCTCGGAGCCGGGGCGACTCCGGGGGACGCGCTCCGCCCCCCTCTTCCGTTTCGGGAAACTCCTCATCAGTTCTGTCGGGGTTCCTGGGTTCCTTCTGCCCCCCAAGTCCTAGTGCCATTGTGGTGCTCGTTGTTTACCTCGGACTCCGGCTGAGCGGGAGCTCGGCGACTTTTGGGGGGAGGGGGCGGGGAGCTGGTCGCCGCCGGGGCGGTGGAGCGGCTGGGGGTGCCTGGCGATCCCCCCGCGCCCTCCCCCCGGGCCCTCGGCTCTCCCGCGCTCGCCGGGACCCCGGGCGCCCGCAGCCCCGCGCCCATGGGCAGGGAGGGGGTCCCCGGGGCCGTTGTCAGCGAGGGCGGAATCAAAAGTGGCGTTTCAGTGCCTTTCCGGGGCTCTCTCCGCGACTCTCTGCTCCCCTCCCGCGCCGCCCCCCGCTAGCTGCCCTGGTCGGGGGCGCGAGGCTGCGGGGAAAAGTTTAAGGTTTGTTCTATCAGTCGCGGTTGCCGGGGAGGGGCGGGGGCGGCGGGGAGCGGGCGAGGGGGCCTTCCCCGCGCCGCGTCCTCGGGGTGGCTGGAGAATAATACTGAAGTGACAGCCAGAAGTAGACTTTCCGTCCTCTCGCCGGAGGACCCGAGCGGCAGCAGCGGGAGGGAGGGCGGCCGGCGGACCTTTTTATCTCCCTTTTGGAGACCTCGTCCGCAGTGATTTCTTTTTTTTTTTTTTTCTTTTTCTTTTTTCTTTTTAAGAGAATCCTCAGTCACCAACCTCGCTTCCCCGGCACCACCACAGTGTACAGCTCATAACGGGTTTTGCTTTGTTTTTACGATTTCCACCCCCCCTCCACCCCCCAACGAATCACTTGTCAGATCAATTTTATCTTCTTCCTCCTCCCGGCTTCCCACTCTCCCCTCCTCCCCATCGAAATCCCCGTTCTCTGAGGTTAGACATTTTACAAACCCATATATGTTGTTTTTCGAATTGTGATTTTTTTTTTTTTTTTAAACCCCTCTCCCATGGCTACTCTTCCAGACGTTTATTTCTGCCCTTCCCCCGCTTAGGGGGGCGGGGGTAGGGGAAGGGAAAATAATACAATTTCAGGGGAAGTCGCCTTCAGGTCTGCTGCTTTTTTTTTTTTTTTTTTTTTAATTAAAAAAAAAAAGGACATAGAAAACATCAGTCTTGAACTTCTCTTCAAGAACCCGGCTGCAAAGGAAATCTCCTTTGTTTTTGTTATTTATATGCTGTCAAGTTTTGAAGTGGTGAGTTTCAGGTCGGTTTTGCTAATTTCACTCAGTAAAACTGCAGTGTTTCTGTTTCTAGATAGTACTTTGCTTCTTTGTCTCTTTAAAAGGTCACAGTGAAAGCTTGGCCTGGATCGTGCCGGCCATATGGAATGGATAAGGGCACAATCTTAAAATGTGATTATAGGGTTCTTGTGGGGGCGAGGGAGGCGATCTAGCTAGGAACTCATTGAAAAGGATCCCACATTGCAAAAAATAGGTTCCTGAAGCCGGAATTTCGTGCTTTTCTTTCTTTCTTTTTAAAGGAAATAATTGCAGTGCCTGAGTTCACTGTTTTATTCAGTAATTATCATATATGGTCTTAGTTTATGGGCAGGGAAATGGGATTTTTAGAAAGTAGCTTGTATTCTGTATGCCAACCAGACGTTACACTAAAATGGGTTTTAACATGTGTAACTCAAAAGAAACTCTTCAGCTGGCGTGTGTTGAGAACCATAGTTAGTTCCCGCTGCTGTCAGTCCAGGCAGGCCTGTTGAAGGTTGCTCTTTTCAATCCCAAACTGAGGTTTGGTGAACTTTAGCCTTGGGCATGGAGTTTAAATGAGGAAATTGGGTGTTTTATGTGCATGTAATTTTGCTTTATAATGTAAAGCTTTTTACGGGATGACTTAGTGTTTAATAGATGCTTATAAGTGGGTATTCAAAGGACAATTTTGCATGACCTATATGATATTTTGATTGTCAATACATTAACTAAATTATATCTACCACTTTAATTTGCTGTACAGTTTATAGTGCTGTTAAGCCTCATGATTACTTAATATGTTTTATAGCATTAACTTAGATGCTGTGGTTTACTTTTTTTCCTCCTTTTTTTTTTCTCTTAAATTGCTCCAAGGGTTAAAGATTTTCTTTTTAAATCGTATGTTTTAAAATTCATCTTCTGCTCTAGGATAAAGCAACCAATTTCAGAAAAAGCAGCTCTGTATTATAATCCACATGAAACATTATAAAGAGTGTTTTGAATGAGTTAATAATCATTGCTCTCTAATTTTGGCTTTACACTGTAGTTTAATATAATGGAAAAGAGTAATCTTGATAAAAAGTGGTTAAAAAAGGCACATTTATTGTTAATGAACCTCATAACCAAAAACAGATGGGACCTCGATCAGCGGTAAACCTTTAGTTCTCAGTGTGCCACTCTGGAGTACAAAGATAAATAGCCATTATTATTTCTCAAACTTTATAGTTCTTCAGTTGGCATTCTTAAGGTTGCTTTTAAACCTCTAGATTTAACATTGCTACCCCTCTTTTCTTGATTATATGGAAAGTAGTAGTCTATGGTTAAACAGAAGAAAAAAGTGTTTACAGAAAAGCTGTGCTATCACAAACTGGCTTTTAATAAATCCCAATCCATATTTGGTATAATAATTTTTTTAAAAATATAAGGTATGTCAAATTACTAGACAACTGGAAGAAATGGTAATTATCATAATTTCTCCAATTTTTAAAAATATAATCCCCTTAGTTTGGTAAGCTCAATATCTCAAGGACCATGAAAGTTCATAAAATAATCTTACTTGTTCTTATCAGTTCTAGTTAAAACTGTATTTTAGAAATGACTTTGATATTATACTAATTACTTTATTACAAACAGTATGACAACTAATGTCTAGTATATAATATAACTGAAAATAATTTTTTCTGAAGTTAATTACCATGTTAACTTCATTGCATACTGATATTATTTTTGAATACTGGAGATTGTGTTTTACTAGTATCATGAAGATTTCTTTTTAAAAGTGAGCCTGGCACTTCAAACCTAATGTGCATATCACAAAGTATGTATAAGCTTTTTGCTATTTAAATTGTTAACAGCATTCTATTACAAATGGACACTTAAATATTAACTATAAAACACCTGAGTTGCAATGCCTCAGCACCTGAGTTATTTGAAGAAACCCTCCACTTCTTCCTGTTTATTTAGGGATGAAATGATCTAATCACATGTTTGACCCAAGACTTGACTAGGTCTTTAACAGATCACATAACTCTTGAAACTTTAATAGTAGAAAACTTTTTCTGTGCATTAACTTAAGAAACCCAATGGGGAATTTAAAAAGCAGGTAGATGTTTGCCACCTTCATTTGAGATGTTTTATGTATTTTTTTCTCATAAGAATTAAAATATATGTAAAAATGTAAACACATCCATTACATTTAACTAATATTTTGGGCTATGATAATCTTTTCATCCTTTATTCAAGTGTCACTATTGTATTCTATAATGAGTTTCTAATTTTTAAAAACGGGAATACATAAATATAATTTGTTATTTTCTTTTTAGCTATACTTGTAATAATTCTTGTTCTAAAAGTAACCCCATTTCTCCCCACTTCATTTTGTTTGTAGATGAAAAATTACCTTTTTATTCATGTGTATTGGTACAGTTTCCATAAATTCTGTTAATTTGAATAAAAATGTAGTGCTCCTGTCTAGAAATATAGTAACATCTGTATTATATCTAGGTGTGCAGTTTTATAAATACATTACATTTGTGGAAAGATATGTGGAGGTAAAACATTTACAAGGGACACATATATAGATTCCCCACCCAATTATAACATGTTGTCTTCTTTTTAAATTCTGGCAGGTGATCTTTAGACAGTGACTGAGTATGGATCATTTGAACGAGGCAACTCAGGGGAAAGAACATTCAGAAATGTCTAACAATGTGAGCGATCCGAAGGGTCCACCAGCCAAGATTGCCCGCCTGGAGCAGAACGGGAGCCCACTAGGAAGAGGAAGGCTTGGGAGTACAGGTGCAAAAATGCAGGGAGTGCCTTTAAAACACTCGGGCCATCTGATGAAAACCAACCTTAGGAAAGGTAAATACTTCTGAGCCAAATCCTGGAAAGCTGCAAGCTCTGGTGTCTACCCAGGGCCACATTGTGTGAGGGTGGAGTGGCAGAACATGATTTGTGTATTCTTTTTCTTGATTTTCTTTTTGATCTGAAATTGGTTACATTCTAAGTTGTTAGTATCAATCACATTTTGAAACTATAGAGTTCATACCAGGGTGGAGCATCTTTACTATAGACCAGACTCATTGGATTTTTTGGAAGATAAGGACTGAATTGAGTATAATGGTCTTAGTTTATGCAAAGGTCCATTCATAAGGTGTTATTGTAGTAGAATATATGTAGGTGGCTGTTGCTTCAACTCACCCTGATTAAGAGTAAGACATTTAGATTGTTTGAGAAATGCCCTAGCTTTTTTTGTGAGCTTATTAGGTGGAAGGCAGTTTCAGAGATTATGGAAATCTTATATAAAATGATATAGAAGTGTTGTGATGTCATTTTTTTGTGGTTTATTTTCTTATGGGCAAGTTTATCAGCTAACAGTGAAAAATATGATGAGTCTAGTTTTAATTTTTGCTATAATGGGGTATTTTTAATAAAGGAAGGGCAGTTTTAGGCAAGTTTATAAGAGGAAAATGTGTGACTGTTTTCTCCCAATATTAAATTAAGTTTAACAACTTTGTGTTTGACATTATTGTTTTGTAAAGCAGTGCCTATCCGGGGTATAATGCATGTGCCTCATAAGGGGCTTTATTTTGTCTCTGAATAACATGTATAGGAATCAGATTTTCCTTACATTTGTTAAGCAATGGGTAAAAATGCCATATTTTAGCGACCAAGAATATTAAGTAGATAAAGTTAGAAGGCAGAGGAATTTCATTGTGTTTGATGCATAACATTTATCATACAATCATTTATTTTTTCCTTGGTTTGGCGAAAACAAAGAATATATTGATCCTGAAATGAACAGACACAGCAGTCCGTATTGTTAGATCTTTATCTATTAAAAATGGAAAAACAGCACTTCAGCAAATTCTTTGGCCTCTACTCATGATTACCCTATTTATTGATTGTTTGCCAAGAATGTATGCATCTTAAGAAAGCCAGGATAAGAGCATTAAAAATATAATTTATTATGGCTTTTCAAACAGAGTGCATTAATATTGTACTGTGAAGCACTGGGGCTCTATAAAAAAGACTTTCTGACGCCTGCAAACATATAAGTTCCATAAATTCCTAAATAGGAGATTTCAGCTGTCTCTGGTATTATGTGATATTTGCACAGCAAACTTTAATGCCAGGACAGTTTTAGACAAGGATTCTACAGACTTCACTGCTCCTTATGGCAGACGTGCTGTTTACACAGGCTCATAAACCTTCAGCAAAAGCTTCTAAGACTGCCTTCAGGTTTAAATCATGTGATATTTTTAGCATTCAGCAGTGACCAGTGCTCTCCCCTTTAAATGCTGGAAGGTTATGAAGTTGCTGTAGTTGGAAGTCTTGCCAAACACTAGCAGGAATAATCAGACAGTTCAGAGAAGGCTCCTGTTCAGCATTACTCTTAGTAACAGGAGGGCAGCCGGCAACAGTTTGCTAGAAGATGTAGCAGCTAGATTTGTAATTAGATGATACAGTTGTTACTTTGTAGCCATGTTTATTACCTTTAAACTACCTCCAAGTTTGATCAATGAAGTCCAAAATAAATCCAATGTATTTCAATACTTTGAAAAGTCTAGAGTTATTTCACAGGTCCAAGGAGCAACATATAGTAGAATACATCTGTTTCATCCTATAAGAGGAAAAATCAATGTGTACGTTTTTGTTGTAATAACCTAACTCTTTGAAGACATCAAGATGGGGGAGGAGGAACTAAAGTACAGTAATTTCACTTCCTGCTCAAATGCTATTTTTTTTAATTTGATGTATTGTGTTCATAGTGACTTATTGTAAAAATGCAGTTTAATTGTAAAAGGCCCTTGCTTACTCCAAACAACAAAACTACTAAAGCCTTTTGGTGGATTTTGTTTTTTCTTCTTATTTTTTATGTGCATGGTTTCTGTTTGACAGGTGCTAGATAAAAATTGTGGCTGAGATGAGAAAGCACTACTAAGAAAGGGGGGTTGAATGTTTTTATTTGTTTAGGAAATTTTGCCAAAATACCTTCAAGCCAAGGAAGAAATCACCAGTTTGCATATTGCTATTTTTGCTATGGTCTCCCCAAGTCGTCTTCTGATCCCTGACGGGTTCTCTCTCTGGTATAAAACAGCTGAATGAATGACAAAAATATTGGCAAGCTCTGCAGCTTGTTTTTCATGCCTAGCCTGTTGGTACCTCTGAATGAGTTTGTGAGCTTTTCTAAGTAAACCTAAAGGGGTTTATTTGTCAGTGCTAGAATCTCTTGTGAACCGTTCACTGAAGCTTTGGTGAAGACACACATGTAGAAAAATGTAGCTGTTTTATTGCCGGCTTTTGTTCACCAGAAACAAGCAAATAGAGAATTTTTGAAGGTCCTCTCTGGTATCAGTAGGAAATCCTGATTTTTAGCTACGGTTGGTATGCACTAGACATCTTCAGAAGTTGTTAGGATTCTGTGAATCCAGAGGACAGAGCTTATAGAGGCATTAATGTTGTAGGACTAATTGGGGATCCTGGGTGCCCTGTTAAAGTAACCCTTGTCATCATTTATGCTAAAGATGATACCCTCCTGGCAGTTTGCCACAGTACAATTCAGATGCATCTGCTTTTAACCCTTTTCTGTTATCATTAGAAATCTGACAGTGCGCTGCGTAAACACCTTGAGTTACCACAGCATTCCGTGATTTCAGTTTCTGAAAGAAGCCTCTTTCTAATTGTGGTGTGGCCTGTGCTTATTAATCATCTAGCTACTGAGTTATTATGTCGGATTAAAGTAAAGAGAGAACACATCAAATCTATACAGATTCCTTTATTCTAATATGTACTGCTGAGGCCACTTTCCTTTTCTCTCTCTCATTTTTATCCCATTTACTGTAACAAAGATTGTTGATTTTAAAGACTTAAGGTTCCTGTGATATCTCTTTAGTCAGGTAGATAAAATGAGTATTCACAAACCGACATGTTATTTATCTACGTTATGTACATATTGAAATTATTATGGGCATCAGTTTGGTTAAGTTTTATGTTTCTTTTATGGAACCAATTAGAATAAATATCTAAAAAAGTAAGAAAATGATAATTTTATAGTCAAATATAAGTTGTTTGGACACAAACAAGAGAAGTTTATTATTAACAAGATCGTATAGGTAGCAGGAAGGTGGTTTCTTAAGACAACTGTAGTGAGTTATGTTTGCATACTGTATACTACTCACAGCAAATCAGAGAAGACTCACTTATTCCTCTCTCGTCAGCCTTATGTGATCAGAGAGGCAATTCTGTTTTCTGTTGCTTTTGGAAAATACACTGTTAATATTAGAGCAGAGCCCAAGTTACCTTAGGACCAAGTTCATATTCTATTTAAGTATTTCTCTTACAACTGTATAAAATACAACTGCATATATGTTTGTGTGCCTGTGCCTGTATTTCTATACTCAGTCTGCCTTGGAAATATAGTCTCCTCTTATCTCACTCTTGTGAAGATTTATTTTCATGGCTTAGTTTTCCCTCCCCCTAGACTGTATTTCTGAAGATTGTTGGTTTTCCATCTCTTTTTCTGCATCTTTTTGATAGGAACCATGCTACCAGTTTTCTGCGTGGTAGAACATTATGAAAACGCCATTGAATATGATTGCAAGGAGGAACATGCGGAATTTGTGTTGGTGAGAAAGGATATGCTTTTCAACCAGCTGATAGAAATGGCATTGCTGTCTCTAGGTTATTCGCATAGCTCTGCTGCCCAGGCCAAAGGTAAATAATGCATATGTGGGGTTGGAAAAATTGCTTGGCATTCTTTGTTTACCTTGCAGAGAAAGCACTGAATATTTTTATTCAAAGAACTGTAGCCCGTGTATTACATTGGTTCCTTATAGACTGTGGCTTTAAAAAATTGGCTTAATTCAGTTTGGTTTAGTTAACACACATTTTGCTCATGTGGAATGTCGAGGTAGATTTTTTTTTTTAAATTACTTCAGCTGAATCATTAGTATGCTTATTGACCTTAATAATCTGCTCCACTGAGGACCCACAAGGAAGTGAGGAGCGTATTTGAGCAGATGGACTGTTGAGAGTCAATTTGCATTTATGACTGAATATCTAGTTCTGTTTCTTTTATTCTGTTTCTGATGGTTTTATGGGCTGTAAAGTATTTTTCAATGCTGATTCCCACTGCAATAGAGAATCTTATCTAAATCGTAAAGCCATTTAGAACTGGTTCAGCTATGTCTTATTAGAACTTCCTGTAAGTTAGGAAAATGTGGCCTTATGCATAGGTTTTATTGATGGGGTTTTATTTCCAAAATAATAAACAACCCTACAGTCATTTACATAATTTCACAATTTGGAAAGCTAAGCTGTGAATATTTTCATTGACCTGCCTTTTAGAGGGAAGGGAATCTTTCAAACAGAAATAACAATATTGCTTGTGGTGGGGGCAATAGCAAAAAAAAAAAAAAAAAACAACCAACGTTCTACTAGATATATTTATCTGAGGGTAAAATATTTAGTGACATATTCTCTGTATCTGGAATAGGGCTAATCCAGGTTGGAAAGTGGAATCCAGTTCCACTGTCTTATGTGACAGATGCCCCTGATGCTACAGTAGCAGATATGCTCCAAGACGTGTATCATGTGGTCACATTGAAAATTCAGTTACACAGGTGAGTCAAGGCAGCAATTCTGTGCAAAATGTTCTTCTTACCTGGCCTTTTGAAATAAAGCATCTCTGGTCAACCTTCATTTTTTTTTTATTTATGCTGTGTTTCAGAAAGATTAATCCAAATCAATTTTGTTACCTTATCCCTTCTGCTTTTAATGTATAATTTAAAAGCAACTCCCCTACCCCAAATTTGTAGGTTTATGCAGGTTATCAAAAGACAAGACTTTTTACATTTAGTCAATTAAATGATGCATTACAAGAAGGCATTTTACATAAAGTTTACTTAAGAAAAAAATATTTTTGCATATCATGAACATTGCCATCTGTGTACATTTTCTGGAAGAATGTCTTATTCACTCTTGCCACGATCTTATTTATTTATATATATATTTTTTTGCCGTTTTAATTCGTATGAACAGAGTAGTGAAAGGAAATCAGTTAATACGTTAATGCTTTTCACGATGGCTCGTGAGAAAGCAGTACACCTTAAATTGTCTTCCCAAGCGCATCAGAGCAGGAAGGTAGAAGTAACATGAAAAAATAGCCACCACAGGCAGCTGATGTATAATTCATGCATCGATACAGCAGATGTGTTGTATAAAGTAATTAACTAATCGGAACAATCAGGAGACCGAGAGCAATCTCCAGATGCATCTGTTTGATGCGCAAAATGAAATCTGTCTGTCTTAAAGGAATGTTCTGCAGCGGGATGCAATCTTGTAATAATCCCCTTTCTAATCTATGTCTCCAATAGTTGCCCCAAACTAGAAGACTTGCCTCCCGAACAATGGTCTCACACCACAGTGAGGAATGCTCTGAAGGACTTACTGAAAGATATGAATCAGAGTTCGTTGGCCAAGGAGTGCCCCCTTTCACAGGTACTTAGCATAGCATGTAATAAATAAGACGACTTCATGGGCAAGGTTTGATGGGGCTCCCTAGTTTAATGGCACTGGTATCTGAAGCAAGAATCTGCCAAAACTGTATAATGACTTGACCAGGGGGTGTGACCTTTGAAAATATGCCTGATTCATTCAGAACAGAACCTATACACTTTTTCTCCCTCGGGGGAAGGGCCAAAGGACTGTTTATAGGGAAAATAGTTTAGCAGAAGACTAGCTGGCTAGTTTTATACTCCTCGTTTGAGTGTTCTGATCATAGTAGCTACATCTCCTGAATGCCCTTATTTAAGAACAGAGTCAAGGTGGTTCTACTTCCACACAGCTTCGGTGAGTGGGAATGGCAGTGTCAGTGTTAACATGCAAAACTTCAGTGTGCTGCCTAATAAAATAAGAGTACCGTTCTTGGATACTTTATTCATTACCCAAAAAATCGAAAAGTGTTTAGTAAAAATAATTATAAAAATAATCTCTAAGCCATCACCAAAGGTTGAATAGTTACTGTTTGTTAGGATTTTGTAACCATTTTTGTGGCATTGGTTCTCTTTTCCTTTTTAAAAGTGGAATCTTATCTTTTTCCTCAGAGATGCCTGTCTTACCATCAGGGATTTTTGAAATGAGACGTAGATTTATTATAATTGTTCTAGGTTTTTTAGAATGAATTTTGGTGGAGGGCAACTAAAACTCTAGGTGGAGACTGCCTACCTGTTTCTAAATTTAAAACTAAACACCATTTTAGATAAAGCTCAGCTGATTTCAAATAAAAAAGAAAGAAAACGGATGCTGTGAACGTACTCTAATGGGCTGCTTATGTGGATACCATGTAAATGTGTTATAATGCTGTCCCCTCAGTGCCCAAAGCCGTTTTAAAGCCATTCCATGATACAGTGTAATTGTAGTGCTGGTCTAACTAGATTTTTACTAAATTTTTCAAGTTTTCTCTTAAGTTTTAAATGTAATTCTGATTATTAGTTTGTCAGTCATTTGAACATGAGCTGTATGATTTTGCTATAAACATTTCTACAATTGAGAGATTCTCAAAGTGTGTTTCTACTATATTTTGAGTAGTAGACATTCTTAAAATGTATTTCTAAGGTGAGACTCATGAAGATTACTGGGTACCTTTGGAAGGAAACTTGTGGGCTTTTGTGCTACTGTTTCATAGAAACTCCGTGCATTTTAGGTTTACTATATTACAGTCCAACATTTTTACTTTGATGTTTGCTTTAGAAATTTTAGGAATGAAGAAAATGAATTAAGTTTATAATTAATGGATTTCTATATTTTTCTAAGGGAAGCTATAGCCACAGGTAAAATATTCTCTGTTGTGTCCCTTTCTTGCAATTCAGAGCAAATCCTTTTTGTCATTTCAGTTATACCTTTAGCTAATCTCCTTTTGGAATAGAGAGGTTATGAATTTATAACCATTGAATAAAAGTAATTTAAATTAATTAAACGCAGTTAAGTCAATAGGATGATATAATAAAGCAAGGCAACTCTTCTGGGACTTTGTGTTTTGTAGACAACTCCAGGTAACATGTTACTTGGTTACCAGTATTTGAAAATTTGAAATGACATAGAAATAAACTTTTTTTTTTTTTTTTGCTCAGTTAAACCATAATATAAATATCCAATATAGGAATCTCCCATGTACCTTCATGTAACTAAATGTCCCATTGATTTTGGAAGTAAATTCAGAGACTTAAGGCATTCACTGTGAGCTGGAGAAGAGGTTGATACTCCAAATATTTATTGATATAGCCAGTGAGAACTAATTGCTAAATGACATCAACATTCAGCCAATAAACTCCACCTCACTGTAGTTTATAAATATAATTGTGAATTTACTTAATGTTATCATGGAAAATGAATTGAATACAGACAATTATTAAATAGAATGACAAAATGAAATCTGGGACTTGGTTTTAGAGTCGTACATTGGTGAATTTCTGCAGAGGTCCTCAGAAGAACACATGGCCTTGTGTAGCTGGACACCCCACTGTAATCATTCAGTGACGGGACTAGGCTGTAATTTCAACATCAGTTATGATTACAGTCTTCTTTTCTTTAAAAAAATCTTTTGAAAAAATTATGCATAGTTTGGCAGTGGCAGCAAATATTTGAAATTATATTTAATAATATAAAAAATTAACTTGAGTTTTATATTTTGTGCATCATCTATTCCTTTCTCTAGAGTGAAGACATGAATCTGATATTCTACTCAGAATGTCTTTGATGTGAACTATTTTCTGTATGCTTATTTTTTTTAATGTCCAAAGTTATTAAAGATGAGAGATGCAGGCTCCCTAAAACCTCTGCCCAAAATATATGCTGAGTTTGACAGAACTACTCTTTTCTTTCTTTTGTGGGTGAGATTTGGTGATGGAGATGTTATGGTAAAAAAGCGAGCAAATAAATACTGCCTCAGCCTTCTATAAAATGGGACCTAACACCAAGAAATGCTAAGTGTTAAAGGCTTTACATCCCCCACAGAGTGTTGATTGATTCATGTGAGAACTTGTAGCATACAATTCAACTACGTTTTACTGTACGTTAAAGGTTTTATTTATTATGATAACAATAAACCAGTAGCAAGTATGGCTACAGGTTCTCTAAATATTTTGCTTAGCAGAAAGCCAACCCTCCCCCACCCCCTGCCTGCAAGGAAACTCCCTTTGCAGACTAGAGGCTAGGGAAAGCAGACTAGGAAGCCACTGGGAATTTGCCTGGGGTGTTTGACAAGCTCTGCCTCCAATGCTCTTAGAATTGTCTGACACTTGCTAAGCTAATGTTCATTTGGACTTGGATTCTTAGAACTAGAAGGGATTATCCTTCCCAGGCTCCTCTTTTGACAAACGAAGGAGCCGGTGTCCCTAGAGATAAATGTCAAGATAGTTGGTGGTTAATGACTGACCCAAAAGTCCTGACTTGCTTAGCCTATGTCCTTGCCCAATGATAAATTTTAAACTAAGTATTGATTTTAAAATGAATACTAACATTTTGGTGCAAAAATGTTTTCTTTGATAATATTTGTAAGGTTTTTTCCAGCTGCATAAATTTTGCAAGTGGGCACGTGGTTTTGATTTACAATTCATACCTTTATTTCTGTTATCCCTTTCTTATCATAAATTTGCCCAAATAGATTGATGGTCATTTATTAAGTTCTTTGTACCACATGCTCAGTTTTGTAAAATAGTCTATGACATAAGAAATGCTTAGCTCATTATAGATCTGAGGTTGGGTGTTTTGTTGTTAACGTTTGCTTTTTTCAGTGGATGTGGTTTGGAAAGTTGGATGTTGCATTCTGAACTGCAACCAAGGAGGAGAGAATAAAGTCTGACTCGGGGCCAAGAAAGCCTGTAGTTGTGAAACTTTTGAGGGTATGGATTTGGGAGGTAAATTGGGAATTAAACATTTTGAAATAAAACATTAAATTTTGACACTAGTTTCCCCTGCAGTTTTAGGAAATAAATATTGGATGAATATACGTACATTCTGATATAGCGATAGATCGTTTTGTTAAAAGTGCCATAAGTAAAAGGTCAACCATGACTTCTACTAGCCTATTGTCTTCCTTCTAAAAATGTTTGGGTCAGATATTCCTGAGAGATTTTAATCTGTTACGCGCATTATTACCTCCCCTCCCTCACAGCACCTGTGAGTATATGCACATGCAACACACATCCCACACCTTTGACATTCTTAAGGCATCGGATTGTTTCCTGTTTTATTTCTCACATGGAAAAGGTATCTCCACGCCAAGTCATATAATGTGAGAATTGCCATTTTTTTATTTTCAAGTCGCAAAATATATGTAAATAAATAAATGTTAATATTCCATTTAAAAGTAATATTGAGTAAGATTTTTCAACTTTCCTTTTTCTCATGACGTCTGAGGATCTAACGTATGTTAGGCTTTTTATTAATTAACTGACAAAACAGATTTAAAAAAGAAACTGTCTTGCCCTCCTGAAGCTCAGCATTTAGCCATAATGATTCTCTGAAACTTGACAGTCATTTCCATAGGCATTTAATACACTCATGTGTTCAGTTGATTTTTCAGTCTGTATTATAAGTGACACTTGTGCAAAAATGAGAAAATCTATTATGTTACAGGAATGTTTTTTTAAAAAACTGTACTTGTGTAATTTGGGGGCTGAAATAACATTTCTTAAAATTTTTAATAAACATTAATAATCACATTCTCTCTTGATAATATCCAACATCAATGTTCATATATTATACTTCATATGAGAGTTTGACCTATGAAGTTTATTCACATATTAATATAGTTACTTAAAAATTGGCAGTCTGCTGTGTGCCAGGCATCCCGTTTCCTATGTAGTAATAAGGATAACACATCTTCATAGTTGAAATAATATTTAACTTTCATTTAGTGCTTTGATATACAAAGAGTACTTCTATCTCCCTAAGTAGTTGATAGTTTTATATTCCCATTTTCAAATGAGGACCCTAAGGCACAGAATGCTTAAATGACGTACATAGCTGCTAAAGTAGAGGGAGGGGTTGGAATCCATACTCAGAGCCTGTAAGCATAATCAAGTGTCCTTCTTGGTCACATGTATAGACAAAGGAGGTTTAAAAAAAAAAAATAAAGCCTTTCTCACATTAATTTGATGGGTTTCATAATATACTTTGATTTCTCTGTAGTATTGATGACTGCTTTAGTTTTTAATATTGTTTTTATACTCACTACTAGAAATTTTCTTTAACATAACTGTTTTGGTGTTGTGCCTTTGATTTGTTGTTTGTGCACTGACTTGTTTTAAAACGACAGTACCATCATTTCATGCCCCTAATGGGGTGATCTACACCATAGGGACTGACTGCTGGGATAATCTGACATTTAGGAGGTTCCAGAAGATTTGACTGCATAGCACAATCACTTCTGTGCAGTCACACCTTTTCCCTGTCTGCTTATATCCTCAAGATCAGTAGATATAATTGAGCTAAAAGCC